AGTTAAAACAAATTATTAATTATGACTACCTGAAATATAACACTGTTATACTTCGATGGCTTAACTGAAACAAAGTACAAGTTGGAACTCTCGTGACTCTAGACAAAATATTATACAAACTAAGGTTTTAATAGCTAGAAGTATAGGACAATCGTTACTTTAGCTGAAATATATTACAAGTAAAGTATTCAAATAAATATCACATTGGAAGTTGATTGATTAGTTGTTTGTTTTACCATAAAGCTACACAGTTGTTTATCTGCACTATGTCCACCATGGTGAATCAAACTCCAGATTTTTGTGTTGTGAGTCTGTAAACTAACCACTGAAGGCCCACACTTTCAGAGTTCCAAAAGAAGCTGAGAAAAGAACCTGAAGATAACAATTTATTATGATTACATGGAAGATTTTATGAATTGTTTACTATCTATTAGTGAAAACAAAGGTTAATCATCAGAAATTACAAGTTCAAGCATCTTGTGTAATTTAAATTTTTGCTTTATAACAAAAAACTGGCTCCTCTAGCAAAGTCTGCTCTTTTTAAATGTAGTTTGACCCTTAGTGACTGTAGAATTTATGTGTACAAAATTAGTTTCAACCCAAGGTTGTTATTTCCCTGTTACAGATGTATATGAACATATGTATTCTTATTCATTTTGGAAATTTCTGTGATTTCTTATAAGTTAATTTAAAAGTAAGGAGAGTAGTTATCTTAAATTGTTGATATTGTGACTTACTCAGTTTGTTAGGAAGTAAGAACCACACAATTGTTTTCAATTTCTTGGAAACAGTTTTTTTATACCTATTTATTTTTACTTAACACAAAGCTATCTCTGCTGTGCTCACCATGGGTATTGAAACCTGGTTTTTAGTGTTATAAGCCTTCAGACTTAACACTAAGCCATTAGGCATCTTGCAAATAGCTATATTATAAATGCTTTTGTCAGCATGTGGTAAGTCTTATTTTAACATTTTATTACAAAATTTATTAAAAGTTTTCTTCATTTCTTGTCTAGTGTTCCAGGAAAGATCAAGCAGTTTGTTGATGATCTTTATTCTGGGAAACTACACAGAGAGTTTCATTATGGCCCTGAATCAACTACCAGATCCCAATCAGATGAATCTTTAGGCATTAGTCAAGTAAGTTTTAGCATTAGTTATTCTAAAGCCAAATTTGAGTGTGATTTATTGTTGATAAAAATTCAAGTAAGTTTTAGCTTTACTTACTCTGAACAAACCATATTATAGAATGATACATCTTCAGTAAGCATTCAATAAAATGTTTTGGAATGTTTTCAAAATAGGCCAATTTCTTAAGTGTAATATGGTTTTTTTCTATTTAAAACTGTTCCATTTTTTTTCCATAGAAAATCCAAAGTGATCCACCTGAGTCCTCATTCAAAAAGTTAGCACCTTCTAGAAACAGATACACACTTTTACGTGATGAGCTCTGATAATCAAGACCAGTTTCTTGAAAGGTGAAATAGTTTTCCATTTCTGTAATAATAATGTCAGTTAAGGAATATATAGTAGTATTATTTACACAATCTATTTCATTATATTGGCTATAAAATTTTGAAATTTGTCCAGCAAACTCCTGTTTTGGTATTTTTTCCAAGTATTATTTTATACCCTCTTTACTTAAGAGGATTTAAAATGCCTCTAGTCTTTTAGTCAGATGAGAGAGGGTAAAATTTAAATGATAATATTAATTAAGAGCTTTATCTTTTTTTTGGAAACATTATTTTGTTAAACTGAAATGTTGTAGATTTAAAAATTAAAATCCACCAAAGATCCAGCTGGTACTTAGAAGTTTAATTTGTTTATAGTTAGATACTTTCTAAAATTGGAATTACCCATGGTTTTACATAGCTTTTAGACATCTAGAAAGTACAGTTTACTATGAAGGTCATGATACTGCTATGCCTGTGGTTGTTTTATTTGTTTAAGAACTTGTGAGTAATTAAAGCCAGTTGTGAGTTTATATCAAAAATTCCCTTGCACTAAATAGGAGAAGGAAATATGTATTGGTAAAAGTGAGTTTTATGAAGTGTTAAGTGTCTACAAATAGAAAAGATAATTAGTAGACAGTTTGTCTTTCCTAATATTTATCACCTAGGTTCATTGAAAAAAAAACTAAACTTTCTTAATAACCAGAAACAATAAAAGCTTTTTAACAGGTATAGTTAAAACTTTGTAAAGAATTTAGTGCTTGTGAATAAAGCATAAGTCAGTGATTGGGTAGAGTGTATCAGGTTACTAATTTCCAATATGTCTATGTGTGCATACACCAAACTATGTAACACATACTATAGCAGTTAATCTCAACACTAATGGTGTATTTCTTAGAAACAGATTTTGGTTAGTAACCAGTTTAAATATGGTTTTGTAAAGGCTGTACAAATATGATAAATCACTAATAAAAAAGATTTAGACTAGCAGATTCTGATGATATAACTTTATTTAAGGTAACTTTAAGCTTTATAGGACTGTCTTGGTTTGTTAAGCCTATCTATCAAAGTCTCCTTAGCACAGTCTTAAAAGTCTTTTCCACAAAAACTCTGGCAGGAGAAGAACATGAAAAGCTCCACCTCTTCACTGTCAACATTGTTTAGAATCCCAATACAAAAATTTTAGTTTCTGTTAATGTTTTATTAACTCGTCCTGTTATGAATGCTTGTTCTAGTTTCACAAATCTGATATGGTAAATACTCTTAAATTGGTTTAAAAGAACTCCATCATGAGGATTAGGGGCTATATTAGGATCTTCTGTGAAACTATTTCCTGTTCAAAGAAATTAAGTTTTCCAAACTTTTTATGAAAGTTGTACAATGACTAACACAGGCTTTATATATATATATGTATGCCCCCCAATGGCACAGCAGTATGTACGCGAACTTCCAATGCTAGAATCAGGGTTTCGATACCCGTGGTGGGCAGAGAACAGATAGCCATTGTGTAGCTTTGTGCTTAATTACAAACTAACAAATTATATATATAATGTAATATAAATAAGTAATATTTTGTCTTTTTTTATTACAGGTACTGAAAATGGAAGCCTTTAATGCTGTTGTTTTCGTTAAAAAGAAAAAAATATTATATATCTTAAAATCAACTATGTTAATTTTAATTTGGTTCAGTCATATAGAAATCATTTATACAGTGGGTCCGTGTAGTCTGGACCCATTGGGAAAACAGACATTATATTCTTAAAGTTAAACAAACACAATTCTAATGTCAGTTGTACATATATCAGGAAAGAAAATACATTGGTGGCACAGTATACCGATAATTGATATGTGTATGGCTGTTAATGGCATGTTATTTGAATAATAATTACATAAAGAATACATTTTGTATTTTTCCTTATGGGTCAAGACTTCTGGGACACCCTGTACAATGAATTTCAGAAAAACTATGTAATAACGTTTTAAAAGCATCAGCTGTGAATAAAAATAACATGGTACACTTGTGATATGAAACTACTACCTTCATTGGATTTTTCTATTGTTTTTTTTCCAAGAAAAATAAAATAATACCAAATTTATCTTGTATACTGACATTAAAAAAGCCTCTATTTCTTGTTATCTGTTTAAATATTTTAGTTTGTTGTATTGTTTATCAGTATATACAATGTTTTTGGCCAGTTTTATCTGTGATAGTAGTAAATATATTAATTCTAGTAAAATACTGAGTTCATGCTCATATGTGTTAATTGGATCATTATTTATTTGCTAAAAACATAGTTTTTATGTAATTCAAATTACATTTTTATAAAATAGTACAAGTAAATTAATGAATTCAAATAAACTATAAGAAAAATAAATTATATGGATATGCCACTTACTCGCTCCGTAGACCTAAATTTAATTTCAGTAGATCAAAATAAGATGGAAATGCTAACCCTTGTGTTTTAATTCCAAATAATAATTGTGTATGTGACTTTAAAAGTATTTGAGGCTTTGTGAAGGTTAAATCAAATAATTTGTTTAGTGACCCAATGAATAATAATGAATCAGTTTTGATTACTATGACTATGAACATTCATCGAAAAAATGTTTTATTTTTATCTCTTTCACTGCCATGAGAACACACACACACACATATATATAAAGACACTGTTTAACCTTTATTTTAGGCTTGAAAAGTGTGATATTAACCATGTGTGAATTTGAAATTTTGGTTTTACCACCAAAGAAGTGTTTTTCCCTTCAAACATCACAAAGTTTCAAATGCATAATTAAATAGTAAAATGTGTCTATGTTTTTTAATGTGTATTTACAAATAATTATGCCTGGCAGTGAAAGGGTTAAGATATGATAGGAACTTGTCAATCAAGTTGGATGTTACTGCTTTACAATGAATTCCTGCTAACTTGAGTTTCATGATGTGTGATTCATTTCATATCTGTAATTATAAATATTTTCTCTGAGTGAAGAAAGGTTACTACTGAAGAAAGGAACCTGAGGAATCTTCCAAATTCTCTAAGGTTGTAAAATCCTGAACAATATTGATTATGGTAAAATCAGAAGTAGATACCTTTAGCTTTATTAACTTTGATTACCATCTTATATCTGAATTATTTAATTTTTTCTTACTTTCACTTTTCTTAATGAAAATGTAGTTTTTCACAAAGAATATTCCATGTTATAAGAAATAAATATCTTCAGATTCAAAAACAAAAATTTGGAGTAAAGTATAGAATTTCTTTACACTCTTATGGGTTGTTATATTTTTAATGTAATACTCTATTTTTCTATCTTTTTTTGATTAAAATCAATACACTAAACAAGTTGATTGTACCTACTAGCTTTTTTTTAATATTTGTCATAGATGTTTGCAAGTCATTGATAATTATCTAATATCTTTGTGGCTAACACTTCTAGATAACATTAGTACTTCACGGGATTTTTTTAAACAGACTGATATCAGTGATGTCAAAACTCTCTTTTACAACATATTGTTTTATGTCCTTTGCCAAAAATGCTCTATTCTTAGTGTTTGTTCTTCTTACAATCTGTTAAAAATTGTTAAATTTGCTGTTTGTAAGGAGTTTTAAAAAAATACAGATGCGTGTGTGTGTTTCAATAAAATGTAATGTCACAGAAGTTGTCTCTTGATACAAGCAAGAAATGAAAAATCTCTAGGATAACATGTACACTTATAGTTGTTGGAAGTTATTACAAAAATTATTTATAGTTTGTCTCATTAGAAGACTGTCACTGGTTATTTAACACAAAGGGAAAAAAGGCAATTCTGATAAAAAAAATTTATTAAATCAATACAAAGTACAAAGATGTAAACCACCATAGTTTACACAAGTTACTTAGCTAACATAATGAGACAACCATTTATATAAAATTTTAGCATATTTTTGATGTGCTGAATATGTTTTATCATTTACTGTTTGGTGTTTCTAATCAAACTTAACAGATACTAAAAAATACTTATATAATCGTATTTAGTAGTTAACATGTAGTGTGTGTAAGCCAATATCAGCCATAAGAGAGTTCATTAGGCCACAAGTTCCTTATGTAAAATATAGAAATAATAAACCTATATCACAGTATTTACCTAATACTGCTCACATTAAAGTTCAAACCTTGTCTTGTATTAAGTTATCTTGTTGTAAAAAACCCTCGATAATAACCAATAATTTCTACTTCTCATTGCACAACAACATAAGTTGTCAAATGCATGTAAAACTATCAGCATTAAACATTCAGTTAGTACTCTTAGCCACACATTGGATCTTAGTTGAATCTTGCCTAGTTTTTTTTTTGTATGAATAATTCTAAATTTTGGAAACATTTTCTAAATTGTTACTGGACAAGTTAAAAAGATTGTTCTGGTTGTTTATCCATTAGGTTTAATACGTGTGGTTCTGTTCTTCATATTTATTTTTGAATATTATCAACACTAACTATGCAATGAGATACAAAATAGTACAGGGTAAATAGACATTTAATTAGCCCATTTGATTAGTTTGCTGGTCGATGCTATTGGTGACATATCAGTTGCACATAGTAGTTCTTTGTACTGTGCACATGATACTTTGAATACCCTTCACAAAAAATACCTCGACTGTGTGTATTGCTTGCAATAATACTAGTTGTGGCTCACTATGTATGACTGCAGCTGCAGAAACCTCACTACTGACTGTTATTAGTTAATATTTAGAGTGCATACAATAAGCAAGTCACATTGTCATCAACTGAATTTCTAAGTGCGGCATTAGAGAAACATGATGTTGACAATATAGACTGATGCACTTACTGTTAGTTGCAACTAGTAAGTACTGCATTATCATCTGCACTTGTGTCAGCTTTGTTAAGCACATTTTCAGGTCCCACTGTTGAAGACTTATTCAACATGGTAGATGACATTACTGAGAAAGACCATACCTCGCTTACTGGTCGAGAATCATGTGACACTAGCAGTGGTGAAATTTACCCTCCCAGTAAAAGGTATAAAAAGCATGAAGGTTTCAGCAAGGATGAGAAAACCTGCTATACAGAATATGTAAGGTACTGGAATCGCCTTCAGGAAAAGACATTGACAGCCCAAGGAAAGAGAGAAATTGCAATGGCAAAAGTGGTTAAAAATCTTCAGCAACAAAAACAGAAAAAAGCTACATCTCAAAGTTAGAAATAGCAAGAAAACTACTGAGATTACCACATACAAAAAAGCACAGTCTCTAATGGCAATGAGATTATTGAAACAGCAAAGTCACCATGATTCTCACATGCAGGACAACAAAAAGTATAAACCTTACTGACAACAAGACTATTAAAATAACCAAAGTCCTTATGATTCTCACATGCAGGACAACAAAAAGTACAAACCTTACTGACAACAAGACCATTAAAATAACCAAAGTCCTCATGATTCTCACCTGCAGGACAACAAAAAGTACAAACCTTACTGACAACAAGACTATTAAAATAACCAAAGTCCACAAGACTGTCATATGAAAAATAAACCTTACTGGCAAAGAAACTGTTAAAACTGCCAAGGTTTTCACATGTGGTACAATGATAAACACAAGCCTGCTAAAAATGAAACTATTAAAACAGCCAAAGTCACCAAGATTGTTACATGCAGGACAACAGAAAGCATAAGCCCTATTGGTAATGAGACTATTAAGATAACCAAAGTCACCAAGATTGTCACATGCAGGACAACAAAAAGCATAAGCCCTATTGGAAATGGGACTATTAAAACAGCCCAAGATGTTTTTGGTAAGAGGAAAGGTGTTTGAAGCATGTAAAGCAATGTTTCCACTTTGGACCCTTTGCTGAAAAGATCAGCTGCTGAAAATGGGGGCCCATGATCATTTAAAAAAAAAGATGAAAATAAAGTAACACATCTGAGTTGTGCTTTTTAATAAACCTGTATGTGCGCTTTTAATTTTTATTTTCAAATTTTCAATTGTACATTAAATTAGCTCCCACACTTCTTTGTTGAATGAACTGGTAAAAAAAGTGGAAAGAAAATTATTGTCTGTTAATTATTAATTTTGTCAGTTTTATGGTAGCTATGAACTGTGCACTTAGGTAGCTAAAACCTGACAGAATGCACCAAGTAGCATCTAATATTTTAAAAGTTTTCTGAGGAATATTCTGCATGGACCTCTTTACAATTATTCAGTACTAGTATATGCAATTATTTAACACTCGTGGTAGACAACACTTGTAATAGTAGAAAATCTGAATGTACCATAAATTTTTATTTACAGGACTGACTTATCTTCTTGTATATATGTGTCTGATGTGGGACTTGTCTTCTGGTATTTCTTTGTTTAGTTCCTTTTTCACGGTTGTTGTTTTATTAAGTTCACTAACAACTTCCACCTTATACTTTCTTTTTTTTTTAGCTTTGTTTTTCAACAATGCTAAAACAGGTAACTTATTTTTCTCCTGTTGATAATTTTTTTTTCAGCATAACTGACACTAGTTGTCTGGTTTTTCTCCAATCTTCAGTAACACAATTAATATGTTGAGTAACTTCCTTCAATGAAATACCATTTGAGATAAGCATTACTGATCATTTTATCTTGAAACTACAGAAAATGTCATATAAACAGTGCACTTGATTACTAAACTTTTATTACTACTATCACAAAATATTGTAGTCGCTGTTCTATTTGATATTAAAATGTATAGAAATAGATTAACCATTGTTGAAGATTAAAGAATTAATTTCCACAATTAAACCAGCTAAGATACTAATTTACCTACTTATCCAAAACACGTCTGACATAAAAAAGACTAATCAAAGTTAAAGTTTTAACTTCAAAAATTAAAACCATCAGAAATAACAGGTGAGCATCTTAATGTCTGAAACACACTGGATATAGAAAAGACATAGCCAAAGTTAAAGGATTAACTTCAAAATTAAACCATCAAAAATAACAATTAGCCTGTTTAACTCCTTCTGTGTTGGACCTTTTTTTTTGGAAATTAGTTAAAAAATCAGGTATTTTATTTCCCTTTTTCATAGCCTATGCTTTTATCTTAATGGAACAAATGTTCTTTTATGATCTGTTATTATATTTCGGCACAAATATACTGGATAAAGAATGTTACTATCTGGATTTATACATGATATATATATTCTTTTAATGAAACTACAGTAAAGAATAGGAATGATTTTTCCAGTGTTTATGATACGTAATTCAGAATAAATCTGACAGAGATCAGCACAAAGAGTATTTCTAATGCTATCTAGTGAGCACTGCTTGTAATACATGATAACATCAATGAATCTGGGCAAATAATTAAATATTTGTGAGAAATGATTTGCCCAAGTTAATTCAAGCAAATATTTTTTGAAACATGTAGGGCTCCTGAGTTATCTTGGGCAAATCATAAGTATTAAATATATAAACTGGAATTTTTAAGTGGTTAACTTGTGGAAGTTAAGCCTTTAACCTTGGCTAGTAATATTTTGCATCAGCTATGGTTGAGATATTAACCTTTTCCATGATTTGCCCAAGATAACTTGTGGAAGTTAAGCCTTTAACCTTGGCTAGTAATATTTTGCATCAGCTATGGTTGAGATATTAACATTTTCCCAATACACACATTTTAAAATGTTCCAGTTTATCCAAGATAAAATTAAACACATAAAGTCTGTTCTAGACAAAATACATGTGTGTATGATAAAAAATTAGTTCTAGCAGTTGAGAGTAGGTTTCTTAGCAAAACAATGCATCAGAGATGTTTAATATTCTGAAAACTTGTGAACTACTCTCAGATCATTACAATACTTCATATCCGTTGATTTTAAAAGAAAGGTTCTGCAGCTTAACATAGTGAATTTATACTTAAACTCTCTTAAAATGTAATAGAAGGTTACCAAGATTTCTAAACACTGATATAACATTTATTTTCTTCCATTGAGCTATCTTATATTTCCTAAATTTAAAAGATCATAAACAATATTACTTGTAAGGGTAAAACCAGAATAAGCATACCAACTAATTATAAATGACCTAAGAAAATCATTTTACTTTTTTGTCTTTAGATTGTCAATATACATAGTGTAATTTTGACAATAAAAGTTAGTATCATTATTGACTCAAGTACATCAACATATCTGCAGCATTTTTACTTCATATTTTGAATAATGGGATACTTTGATAACAAAAAACATTCTAAATATCAGAATGAAAAGGCTTACAATATCTGATTTCGAATGATGTAATTATAAAATAAATAAATATTCACTGTAATACAGAAGTTTGATATTCAGGCTCATTTTTACAAAAATATGATAATAACAGATGATAATTCAGGATTATGTAAGTTTCATGTAGCATTGATATTAACTTGGGTATATATATAGGGTTATTCAGACATCTATTGAGAGAGAAATAAAATTTTGAGAAGTTATAGAAAAATAACTTAAGTAGTGTGAGATGAGGTATTGTGAGAATATATTCTGAAAATAACTTTATAATTCATTTCCTTAAGAAACTTTTACTAATATTAAGCATGCATCTAAAATGCTAAAGTGTAAACAATAACTGCTCTAATTAAGAACAACAGTTATAGACTTAAGTTCCACGTATATGGGGCTGTGTCACAAAAGACCAAACTCTGACACACCTGTTCCACGTATATGAAGCTGTGTTACAAAAGACCAAACTCTGACACACCTGTTCCACGTATATGGAGCTGTGTCACAAAAGACCAAACTCTGACACACCTGTTCCATGTATATGGAGCTGTGTCACAAAAGACCAAATTCTGACACAGCTGTTCCATGTATATGGAGATGTGTCACAAAAGACTAAACTCTGACACACCTGTTCCACGTATATGGAGCTGTGTTACAAAAGACCAAACTCTGACACACCTATTCCATGTATATGGGGCTGTGTCACAAAAGACTAAACTCTGACACACCTGTTCCATGTATATTGGGCTGTGTTACAAAAGACCAAACTCTGACACACCTGTTCCATGTATATGGAGCTGTGTTACAAAAGACCAAACTCTGACACACCTGTTCCATGTATATGGAGCTGTGTTACAAAAGACCAAACTCTGACACACCTGTTCCATTTATATGGAGCTGTGTCACAAAAGATCAAAACCTCACCATAGCAAAGGTTGTTACACAAGAGTGTTTTGAGTTTCACAGTCAGAAGTTTTTCTTAAGCAGGTCATGGCATCTTTAAAGGATCCAAAAGAATAAAAAAGTGTTATAAAAAAAAGCTCCTATCTAAAGTAGCATACAAGTACTGTGCTGCAGCTGCTCCCAAATAATCTAAACAATGACACTTATGTTCAGTTGAAGAACAGTTTAACATGGTCCTGTTATATGCAGTGTCACCACAATGCCCATGCTAGGGCTAGATTGTACACTAAGCCATTCTTAGATGAACATTATCATCTTTCACATTAGATGATAATAAATGTGTGTCAGAAACTGCTTACTACAGGCTCATCTATGCATCAATGTTGATAAAGGCAACCATTACTGACAATAAATCCATCATATTGTACTTATTATATCTGAACAGCATTTTGAACCAAGATGCTGTTTGTTCATCATCATTTTGTAATACTATTTAGGATGTTTACCTCATCTGCATTTATGTGTAACTGTTGTTGTAATGGAGAAATGTTGGTAATTTTTGGTTTAAAATATTTGATTTCTTGTTCTCTATATATTTGCAGTTGGCGTTCTTCACGTATAATGCATATTATTAAAAGTTCTGAAGGAATGACCTCAGTGATACTGTCACAGAGTAGACCCACAACATCTCATTCCATATTATTGACCTCTCCATTTCTGAATTATTTTCATGTATCACTCAGTATATCTATTTACTGTAGCTAGTTATTGGAAATTAATAAAACTAATTTACATGAAAGTGTTGCTTTTTACTTACCAGCCAAATGTTTTGTTCACAATGAGGCACTTCTCACAGCACTTTTTGATCATGTAGACTGATTTAGAGAGAGGGACAAAGCATCATTAATTTCTATGGAGTCATTTTTAGGTTGACCAGAAGGATTGACTTTCAAGGAATTCTTAATAGCATTAGTGACCTATCAACAAGGGAAAAGTTCTATATAAAAGTAGCTGCTAAACACTAAAAAAAATACTTAAAGCTTTGATAGGAAGTGAATATTATTGTGTATATTCTAACCCTAGTAAAATAATTTTGAACATAAAAAAATTCACATACAAAAACATCAAATATCTTGCTTTAGATACAATGTTAATTTTCATACACTGTTAAAGGAATCAGTTTCATAAACATTGCTAAAGAACATCCAAATTGTCTCAACAAACTAAAAACATCAGGAACACTTGAATGTGTATATGTTCTTTATTTACAATTTTCTTACTAATTAGAATTGAATTTAATGTCTTCTCATATTTCTTTACAAACCATACATCAAGGATTATGAAAAAATGGCGTGCGTGTGAATTGCTGCAATGACAAAGTAGACTAAAATATCCTAAATTTCTTTTCCAAACTTCAGAAACTAACTGATTCATTATCATAGTACACAGAACACTAGTTCTAATACTAAATCTCCCTCGGACAATCTAATTACTCCAGCAGTTTTAGTTTCCTAATATCATTTAATACACCAAAAGTTGGACACAAGTTGTCTTTAATGGTTGATAATAATGAAGAATAGAAGAGATATGACAATCAATTTTAAGAGAAAAAGCAAATAATTACTTATCACTTAATAGAGCTATGCTAACCTTAGTTTGTGGCCAATTTTTATGGATTAAAACAACAGTATTTTCTAGTTGTGATGATATTAATACAAATTTTTAACATACCCCAATTTTCTGGAATGCAATTCTATTACAAAAATGTATTAATAAACCTACCAGAAGTACTTCAGGAAGAAGTTCATGACTGGCTCGGAAATTAATATCGTCTAAAGCTTGTATTCCTACTGAAGCTATTTTATTGAACCTGTTAAAAATTATGAATTAAGTATCCTCACATTTAGAAAACGTTGAATACATTCTACTTTTGGAATTCAAGTATGCAAAAACTTCATCAGGAAATCTATTGGCTTTCTCATTGAAACAAAAAACTTAAGCAAAACTCTACCAAATTTATATTAAAGACAGAATTGGCTAATTGAAGAAAAGAAAGGAAACTATAAAATATATATGTTTATGCAATTACTTGCCAAACGAGTAAGAATCTTGAGAAGTTAAAAACTGTTTAAAAAATCATTGTACATCCATTAATAATGCATCAGAATTACCTGGCTCAGAAATGATGATGCTATAGAACCTCACAAAACAATTACATTTATTTGTAATTAGTAAAGAAGACAAAGAAATAATGGACAGTTTGAATAAGTTGTAAAACTTGTGAATTTAGTTTAATCTTTACAAGTCAAAAAATCTAAGTTTCTGTTTCATAAAAAAATAAAGGCAGTCTTCACACTTTTCAAGAAAGGATAATGTTGTGTCAGCGAGTCACATGACTACTGTGACGCCACGTTTCTAGAACTATACTGTACTTTGGCGAATGCTCTAGTATTTACTAGATATAGGGTAGTCGGGTATATAAAAGAGGGGGACAACGTGACGCGGTAATGTGTGTGTAGACAGTGAGTAATTGATCTGCAGTCAGAGTATTGTTGAAGTTCGTTATAGCGTTGTTTTAGCGCGATTGTTGAAGTTGAGTGTATCGGTAAAGTTATATTCGGAAAGAATAAACCAGTTTTATCAAGAAAGCACTTGTGTCGCTTAAGTTTTGTCGGAACAAAGTTACGGAAAGTTAATTAACAAACAGAGACGTAACAATAAGTATATATAGTTAGTGGAAGAGTTGACAACAAATACAAAATCAAACAACTTGTCTGTGTATGCGTAATAACCTTAAACTCCACATACATGTTGCTATGTGACAGCTTCTTTTTAAATACTTCATTATGAATTCCTCTTGATGTTAATTACATTAAAAGGAGAGATATTTTGCATATGAAACTGATACTAAAACAAAAATGTTTTAAAAGTGGTAAAAATGTTTTATCTGTGCATTCCACTAACCTTTCCCCCTAACATCTAAAAAAATGCATACACACACTACATCCATAAAAGAGATGGCTGAAGATTTCGTATATTAATCCATGGAATGAACATAAAAATTAAACATCACTTATGACTGGTAATTTTTTTTATCATATTCGGCTTTAATTTTATTCAAATCACATTAACTAGTGTTAATTATAGTGATTAAACCACTACATATAAAGCACAATCAATCAAACATACTGTTACGCCTCCAGTCGTTAGTTAATTTAATTTTCCGTAAATTCGTTCCGACAAAATTTTAGCGACACAAGTCTTTTCTTAAATAAAACTAGTTTATTCTTTCCGAATACAACTTTACGATACACTTAGTTTCAACAGTCGTTCTCTCTCGTGGCCAACAATATTTTGTCCGTATACATTCAATTATTCATTAACTACACTGTTCCCCAGTCACGTTGTGAGCGTCTTATATAGTATATACCAGACTAACATATATCTAGTAAATGCTAGGGCATTCTTGAAGGAACAGGATATTTCTAGAAATACGTGGCGTGATACTAGTCACGTGACCTCGCTGACGCAACACTGCCCCCTCCTTAGTATTGTTCGTCCGGAACAATAGCCACTTACAATAAACCAATAACAATTAACAATAGCTTAATTAAATGTTCAGAATTACAATCACAAAATTACAATTCAACGAAGTCTCTTAATTTTACGGGACGTATCTTCTTCCGTACTAGTCTCCGTCTCGTTGGC